GACATTGTGTTAACAAGGGAGTTGAAATGATTTACATCAGAGAACTTGATCTTTGCTACAGAAATGTTGTGGAATGGATCCGAGGATAAGACCTTGATAATGGATTTTTGTAATGTATTTTCATTTTCAGAAATGATTTCAACGTGATGTTTAGCAACTGGTACAGGGCAAGTGTTTAATGAGAAGATCTTTGGGTTAACAAAGCCGAAGATATGCCTCAAGTCTCTGAATAAAATTAAATATAACTGTGGATTGTGCTTTGCGAGTTGTAAGACAAAGCTGTAAGAAGAGTTCCTAATCAAGTTATTAATTGAATTTTCGCTGTCGAATACTCCACCAATAGTTTTCCATCTCTTCTCATTCTTTGGTATTTGGATTCTAATAAAGGAATGATCACCATCTCTTCTTAATAAGGAGTCTGGGAAAATATTGAACATTACAATGTTAGAGTGATGGAAACTCTTTTCTGATTCATCTTGAGTTTGGTGACTGAAACAGTTCAAAGTGAGCACACCATAATAAATGAGGTGGAGCTCGTCTCCTTGCTTAATTGGAGAATCTGACTCTTCAATTTCATAATTATCATTCTCTGGTGCGCCTTCATTAGTACTTGCCTCCTCTTTAGAACTAGAGAGCTCGGAAGTCTTCAATAAAGACTGAATTCTAGACTTCTTTTCTCCAGATTGCAAAAGAGAAATTGGAATATCTCCAGTAGCAAATCTGACCTGGCGTTCCTTTGCTTTAATCCACCTTTCCAAATCCTCAAGCTTGTCATCTTTTCTTGAAATCTGCTCAAGTGACTCCAATGGGGCTGGTAAAACTACATGAGTCTCAGCACGATCAGAATTCCAGAATCTTTCGGCCCATGCTTCAACAGCTTCCTTCTGCGAAGCAACCAAATTATCTCTCTCTTCCTTAGAAAGGAGAAGATTCAAGAATTCATAAGAATAATCCTGAGATAAAATTTCAGACCCAGAATAAATTTCACCGACCTTCCATGAACTGCCCTCGAAATACAACTTAGCTCTAAATTGGAATAATGGAGAGATCTGTTGCTCAAGAGTGGTTGGCATGTTTTCTGGTAAGTCAAAGAAGTTAACTTCATACTTCTTCTTCATATATCTCTCAAAGGCTTTAACTCTTGCTGAAGCAGTGTTTGAAAAGTCAGCCTTAGAAGAAGCTGTGAGTTCAATTGCAACAGGAGAAGAAACACTTCTGGCAACAACTGGATAAGTCCTGAGAAATTTCTCTTTAAGAAACTTTTCGGTATTTTCCTTTCTGATGTTTTCAAATATTAAATGCCAAGCTGTCTCGGTACCTGACATTGAGGAAGCAACTGCCTCACATTTTCCTTTACCAGAATTCGTCTTAATCGACTCACTTAAGCCTGAATAATAACTGGAATCTTTAGCTGGATATTGATTGAAGATATTTCCCTTGTATGATAATTCAACAAACTCTGTCTTGGAGTAAGAGTATTTCTTCAAATTTGAAATTGGTCTCTGGCAAGCATTCTCACAGAATCTTTGACGATATTCCTCATCATCGAAAGTGTTGTCTCCTTCTTTGTTCTTAAATATTAAAACAGCTGGAGCACTATTATCAATGGTCATTGCAGACTTTGAAATACGGTTAACACTCAAAAAGATCTCATCAAACGATGAAACTAAATCAACCATTGAATGATCCCCTGTTGGTTTATCTACTGAAGAAATAGACTTCAGGTCGAAGCCTGAGTTCCATAGTGCAATTGTACCTGTTCTGTATTCAGAAACTGCACCATTCAATGATCTCAATTTTGGCTGACTATCGGAAAAGTCTAAGATACCGTCTTTTCCTTGCTGATTTAAAGAAATTGGCTTTATATCAGCAAAATATTCCACTGAATCCAAACTCATCTTTCCATTCTCAAAAATATACTGAGAAACAGAACAGTAACATTGGCATATGAAACCATTATCTTGTGATAATACCCTCCTTGACAAGAGGGAGAATAAACTAAAAAGTAGCACAAGTCTATACATCTCGATCCTCTTCTATTCTCAATTCTATTGCATTAAAAATTCTTGAAGACCTCAGTAATATCCTTCAACTTTTGTTTAAATTTTGTCTTAAGTTTTTTAATTCTTGTTAAATCTGTTAGCAAACTATGAAGACATAATGGTAACTAAGTTTCCCGCCTTTGACAGAATTATTTATTATTTAAGTTATACCAGAGAGAATTTTTTTATATTATTAAATAATCGTTTAGGCGGCAATTTTCCAGAAAACTTCCCTCCAATAAAGTATTGATAACAATCGGTAATAAAATTTAATAGCAATATTTTATTTCTTAATGTAAATATATTTAAATTAGAGAGAAAAATTCTTTCATCTAAGTTTACGAGGGAAAGTTTAAAACTTAACGAAAATGATTAAACCATGGAAACATTAAGTAAAATTGCTCGGAAATGGAGAATGAGGAGTTTTGTCCAGTTTTTAGTATCTATGAACATTAGTGATCATTCTCATCTTCTATGGATTAGAACACCCTATCTGAATTTGCAACGTCCACATCTTAGATTTTCTTACCTTTTAATTCCTCTTATATTTTACATATTTCCATCGCTTGTACAAAAGCCTGTAAGCTTTTTTACTTATCACTACCTTAGATTTTACTCCCTACTTTCTACTCATCCATTCAGATCCAAGCCTAAATCATAGTTAAATTTAGTAAAAACACTAGTATGTACTAAGTTTCAATAGTTTGCCCTATTCTTGTCCCAATATACTCGATCTAACTAACTGGGTAAATATTAAACTAAAGTGACCTTGTCTACTACAAAACAACCAAAAAGGAGAGAGAAAATATACTCATGAGCCTTTTCTTGCCACCAAAGAAGCTCTGGAATCAACCTATCAATGCAAACCACATTGCCCATTCTATTATTCACCATGATTTTTTCGCTAATCTTGCAATTTTTACCCCACTTTATTTATCATTTAAATAATAAATAGTTTAGGCGGGAAAGGCCGTAGCTAGTTTGGACAAAGCATAGAAAATTAAAACAAAAGCAGGTTGGTTGATTTTATGGGATTGGAAGAAGTGCAGTGACTGGGTATAAGAGTTGGATGTTTGGATAACAAGTGTGTAAGTATTTATTGAGTTAAGTCCGAGAGTTATAGCAAAAATGATGGAAATAGCCAAGTATAGAGGGATTAGAGATTCCATTAAGATTGAAAGCCCAAAAGAAAAATTGGAAATTAAAAGTGGAGAATATATGGGGAGTATAGATGGAGAGTTTGATGAATTAAATCATGAGATTTATGAATTTATTCACCAATGTTTGAACACTGACGATTCAGATCTGTTGTTTCCAAATTTCGAGGAGCAGTTACATAGTACTTGTATTAGAAATGATAGTGAAACAGTTAAAGGTGATGGCACATACATGGACGTGAATCCTCTTCAAGGAAATAGAGAGTCCTTTAGGTTTGGGTTTGAGAACGAAAATAATTCTCAGTATATGAATATTAAACATGAATGTATGAATACAGCAAGTAATGTTGGGGGATTTTCCATGTCGCTTGAAAACACTTTTGATCTCAATGGAATATTACTAAAAGCTTCATTTCTTGGAAAGACTGACATTATTAAGTCGTGTTTAGATAATGGAGCTAATGTCTTGCATACCGATAAGGTTGGACGTACTGCATTACATTATGCATCAGCTTGTGGATGGCTTCCAACAATGAGGCTGCTTCTCAAGTACAATTGCGATATAAATCGTAGGGATCACAAACATTGGACAGCTCTCCATATTGGAGTTTCAAAGAAATTCCCAGAAGTTGTGGAACTATTACTTTCTTCTGGAGCAGATTTAAGTTTGGGACTTCCACATACATGTGCACCATGCAGGGGGGGACCAATTTCCAGTAAAGCAATTCATTTTGCTGCAATTAGAGGTAATCGTATGATCACGGAGATACTTTTAAAGTATGGGGCAGATATTAATGATGTGGATGAAGATAATAAAACTCCTTTACATTATGCAAGCTTCAGGACAAATTTGGATTACGTCAAATGGGTAATTGAGAAAGGAGCTGATGTAAATGCAAAGGATAAATATGGGAGGACTCCTCTCCATATAGCATCTCTGTCTGGTAATCTTGAAATTACGAAGATACTTATAGAAAATGGATCTGAAACCCAAATTAGGGATATCTGGGATATGTCTCCTTTAAGTCTTGCATCAACTAGAGAACATCCTGAAATGGTTTCTTATTTGGAGTCAATTTCTGGTGAGAAGTCATCTGAAATCTCTGTTATTAGAGGATTTGAATTGGATACAATGGAGTCTATAGTGTTAAATACCATAGTTACTGGACTACAAGAACCAAAAAAAGAATTCATCGCTAGAGTGATTAAGACAATTGGACCACAAAGAAGCCTGCAACTTTATGAAAACACCATGAAGGTTGAGAATTCTGGCGGGCTCTTGACGGCGGACATGTCTAGGAGAAAGACTATTGGGGGAGTTTTCTGCTACCTCCTTAAACAGCTTGTTACTGAAGATCAAATTACTATTCAGGAATGGAATTATATTCGACAAGAAGAGAAGGAAAGAATTAACGCTAAGAACATTCTAAAACGTAATAGTAGACGATGTCAGGTCTAGATAGGTGCTACTTGATTCTACAAACCCAAGTTTTTATTAATATTTACCTTTATATAATAGATTTAGTATTTTACATGTTTCGAGGGCAGTTTCGTTTTCCCAGCACTTTTTTTTAAATATCTCTTGATTGTGGGGTGTTAATGAGATTTTTAATTATTGGTGTCGGATTTTTTCAATGCTTGTAAGGAAGTCTCAGCCATAAAAGCTTCGATATCAGAGTGAGCTAAACCAGGCTGCACCTTTTCATTATTAATTTAAAAATCGGAAAAGAGAGGTTAGTATTATTTTAGATTCTGAACCGATTTACAACTTTACTTTTTTAGTGAAGTCGAGTATTAGTTAGCACTCGTGGCGCAATGGATAGCGCGTAGCCCTCCTAAGGCTGAGGTTGAGGGTTCGAGTCCCTCCGGGTGCGCTTTCCTTATTTTTTCTTTTTGACGTGAATTTTTTGAGGTAATTAGGGAAGGTTGTAGGGCGGGTTTTTAAATAATAAAATGAGCTTCGGGTGCATAAGACCATCGAAATTTAGACCTGTGTAATATAGACCAGATCTTTTTGCATATTTTTTCCTCCAAAGTTATCCTTTCCTGTGAAGCAGTCTCGAATGACTATATTACTAAGCTCATACAATATAAGAAAGGCAGTGAGTAGAGAAGCTCACTAAGAAAGGCAATATAAAGTGGAAAATTGAAATTAATACAAAGGGTCATACAATATTATTTCGAAAGAGAAGATAGAGAGTAAAGACAGAGTTTAAATTCTCTCTAATATAAGCAAAATATTTAGTCAGGGATATCATTAAATTGATATATATATATATATTTATATTTATATTTTAATTAAAGAAAATGAGTATTTCGAATAGAATTCCTGAAATACAGCCAATTTATGAAAGGAACCAGGAAGCCACACTATATTGTGGGAATTTAGAAAACAAAGTAGATGAAGAAATGCTTGCGGAACTATTTTCACAGTGTGGGCCTGTAAAATCAGTCCATATTCCAAGAGATAAAGTAACAGGGCATCATTCGGGGTTCGGTTTTATTGAGTTTGAATTTGTTTCCGATGTTGAGTATGCACAAAAGATAATGAACTCAATAAAGCTATTTACTAAACAAATTAGGTGCTGCAAAGCTTCAAATGACAGGAAGCCGCTGGATATTGGGGCAAATCTATATGTTGGAAACTTATCTCCGGAAATAGATGAGAAATTCCTCTTTTATCTGTTTTCAAATTTTGGCAAGATCTTGTCACTAAAGATTGTAGGCAATGATCAAAGCAGTCAAAACCCTAAAAATAGCGCTTTTATAAACTTTTCGTCATTTCAAGAGTCTGATTCTGCCATTCAAGCTCTAAATGGCCAGTTCTTTTGCAACCAACAAATCTCGGTTTCTTATGCATTCAAACAAAATTCTAAAAACGAAAAGCATGGAAACTACGCGGAAAGACTATTAGAATCAAAGTCAAAGACCAGACCCATACAAGAATGACAATGTGGGATTACCGCCTACCACGTGTCAATTGCATGCATGTGTGCTTGCTTACTGACACCGGTATTTGATTTTCAAAATAAATTTTTAATGTGGATAGCACATGAATTAAAAAGCGGATTAGTAGTATATATAACTAGTTGGATAGTTATTTAATAATTGAGTTGTTTTAAATCTAAAAAATAAATGTCCTTACTGCATTTGAGGATTTAATTTGGTTTTTAAGTTTTTCTCTCTGAGAAGGCGATGCAACGAGGGAGTTTGAGTTGGCGACATTTTCTCTAGGTGAAACCTCTGGTCCCCGTTTCTCTTGAAATGAATTGGGTTTTAATACAGAATTTGAGTCGGGGTTACCACTTTTAAAGTTTAGACTAATATAGACTATGGCACATGTTATCCCTACTAAAATGGCAAATATAGGCGTAATATTGTGTTTAATGTAATAAAGAGTAAATCTTGAAATGCCAAAGTATACAAAAAGGTCTGAAAGTTGATGTGAGATGGTTTCGCCAGCAACTCCAAGTTCGATTGAAGAAAATAGCAGTACTGAAGCAATAAATGATAGAAATACTACTCCTAATACGAGCTTGGAGTTATTTTTAAAGAGGGTAATAAAAGTAATTATTGTGAATATAAGTGAATAAAGTAAATATCTCACAACCATGAAAATCTGGTTCCTTACGAATCCTTTTCGAATCCCAGAAAGGTCCATTTCTATCCAAAGCTCAACAACTCTATCTTTGGTTTTGCTATCTAAATTAATTGATCCCCAATTATCAGAGTCTTCTAGAGAGTTTTGAGCCAAAATTTTGGCTTCTCTTACAAAGTTCATCCAATTATAATGTTGTTTCGCAATTTCTATTGCATTTTTGAGAGCGTATTTGAGAGGTCTATGGAGTAAGTTCTTAAGAGCTATTAAATTATCCTTCATTAGCTGCTCTTTATCATCCTCTATTACTCTCATAAGCTCTATTAAGGCATCCTTCCAGGATTCCTCATTTGAGCAGTAAATACCATTCATCTCTTTAATGACGTTATCCTTTAAGTCTTCGAATGATTCTAAGATTACAGAATCAATTATGGGAAGGGTCAATTTATTCCTTATTGAGATATTTTTTCTAATTGCAATGGATTTAGCAAAGTTGTATGAGTACTTTCTACAAACTTTCTTCCAGTCCACCATTTTTCTTTCAATAAATTCATCCAGCTCTGAGCTAAGCCTCTTCCAGTATCTTAAGTGAAGATCAGTCTCATTAATTATGGTAATGTGGGTATTAAAAACAAGTTTGGACGAATTCTTCATTTTCTCCAACTTCTTTTCAAAGTCTTCTTTGCTAACTTTGTAATAAGAATCGTCCACTTTTTCTAAAGATCTAATCACATTCAAAGCTTGTTCAAAGTCATCCAATAAAATTTTCTCAATCTCTTCCTGGTTCCTCTTTTTAAGTTTTGAAAGAGCTGACTCAATCTTTTCTTGGGTTAATGACCCATCAATATTACAACAAGGACTATTTCTATAGGAGCTTATATCAGATTCAAAGCTCCCAAAGGATTTATTTAAGGCTATTTCTATATCATTCAGCGTACTAGCCACCAAGTTATTGGTAAATTCGATCAGCATAGATTGTGGAATTGGAATTTTCTCATGGAACTGCTCAATCTGGTGGATTACGTGAGAAATATGGATATCAATTACATCACTACAGTGAGATCTTATTCTTTCACAATTTTTACTTAAAATAGACTTATATTGCTTTTCAAAGTGAGGTTGAACACTCTTTAACAAGCTACTAAAGTCAAAATAGTCAAATTCCGAAATTGACGACCAATATGATTCGATATCTTTCAAAGTTTTGTTATATATTGCATCAGCCTCTATCTCCAGGAAAGGATATATATTCTCATTCAAAAGTTGGTTTTCTAACCTAGTACCAAAAATAAGTAATGTATTCTCAACCAAGTTACTTGTTTTGAGATCGCCTTTTGTAATCCCAAAGTTCAAAGATTTAAATGAACTGAAAATATACGAATGCTCAGAAAATAGTTCCAGTAAATCTGCAATTTCTGCTCCAGTTAATCTACGTTCCTCACCTGAGCTAGACTTAAAGATATCTAAAAATATGGATCCTTCGTTTCCTTTCCCAAATTCATGATCTTGATCATCAATTTTATTCTGGTACCGGTACCCATTATATTTTTTTTCAGTTCCAAAGTATGGAATTTTATAAAAATTGAATCTTTCAATAAACATGTCGAGGTTTTTAAATATCTCACTCTGGGATGTTTCTGGCCAAATATACTTTTCTAATTGAGACTTGAGCGAGTCTTTATACTTTCTGGAAAACTTTACTGGTTCTTGTTCATCCTTCAAATCAAGATTCCTGTGCAGAATCCAAGAAATATTTGTTTTATGTAGATTCTCAATCAAAAAAATGAGGTTTTTCTTCAAGGTTTTTTGATTAGGGATACTCGATTCATTGAGCTTTCTCACAAATAAGCTAGAAAACATCACTGCTTTACTGATTAAAAGCCTTATGAAGTCAATAAGCAAGATATTCATCTCATTAATTGAATTAACTAAGACATAATCTGAAAGAATAAGAGCCAGTATTGCTAGTTTAATTGACGAGTTGATCCCCCTCCCAATTACTAAAGATTCAGTATCCAACAGAATATAATCATTATTTTTTTGAGAATTACCAAATATGGATCCATCTCCATTAGTTTGGACCCATCTAACTCCATCAGATTCCTTCTCATTTACATTTTCAAAGGATGGTGACTCTCCTGAAATCAAACTAACCAAAGTCGTCTTTCCAGATTTGGCCAGACCTAATGATAAAACAAATGAAATAGGAGATTCAATCTTTCTAATTTTTTCAATGGATTCAATAGGTATCTTAATATTACCTTCATGATCAATCTCAAATAGCCTATTGTGTTGTTTGTCTGAAATTGGCTGACTATTACTTACTCCAAACAAACTAACAGTTAGCACACAGAAGAAGATAACAAAGCGGAAGAATGATCTTCTCATTTGCAGTAACTCTGTTATATCTAAGAAAAACTGGCCAAGGGGTCTTCTTGACTTAAGGCTTCTTCCCCCCACTTTACATTTACTTCTAAAAGAATCAAACTCTAGTCTTAAAACTCAAATATAATTCAAATCTCAAAAGTGTTCAAAACCAGAGCATAACCTATTTGCAACCTCACAATAATAATCATCAAAAAATGATGAGGAAAAATCAAAATTGGAATCCCCCATTTATTGGGAAAATGATACTATGAATTTCCAGTATGGCGGGAAATTTTTTTGTGAAAAAAATCCAAATGCCAAATTTATTATCAAACTAAGGAGAAACAGAGAGGCGATTTTTGTAGGGTTTTGAGATTAATATAGACCGAAAATAGAGGAAAACTCGCCCGATCTGACTTTCAAATTGATGTATGGTTGTAAGGAATGAGCTCTGCAAATGCTAAGAGCTCCATTTCAAGTGGTCCTGTAAAAAGTGATTCTATCAGTGATGATGCGAGGATTGAGGCAGAGCTCGTAAAACGGGGGAATTTAGTTGGGGAGGCATCACTGGAATGGTCTCTTAATTTTCTGACTCGAAATTGTGATTTTTTAAATGAAAGGTCAATGTCTCCACTTTCAATTTACGCAGTCCATGTATGGACGGGATCACAGAATTGTGAATTCGCCAATAAGCTTTCTTTTCAAGGAAAGATAAGAAATATGCTGTTTAAGTTGTTAATCCATCCTGTTCACGAGTTAGTAAACAATTTAAAGACTAATGCTTATTATATTGCGGCTTTGAGCTCCAAAAAACCTCTTGATTTTGAACAAAATATGTCCTCACATGGGCTTGAGATCCCCTTAATATCGGGAAAATACTTTGATGGAGATTTTATTCTGAACCAGATG